AAAAAGAAAGGAACATGCCTGCACCTGACCTGCTCTGCTGCAGCTCTGCAACACAACCCCTCACATCTGACTTCTGCCAGTTATAATCCAGTTATAATAATAATAATAATAATAATAATAATAATAATAATAATAATAATAATAATATCTTTGCAATCTGCAAATGCAAGCACTTTTTCCAGCCTTTTTCCCCCTCCTTTTTATCCCGTGTCAGTTTCTCTTTGACATTGCCGTGTACTTTGCAAAAAAAAGAAGAAGAAGAAGGAAAAAAGGAGCGAAAAAAAATCTTTATCAAATCCCCATTCTGAGGCTTTCAATAAGGCAGGCCATTACCTCACTGGCGCTTTTGTTCGGCCTATACAAGAGAGAACAAAATGGTTATTCAGGAGGACGCTTTAGATTTTTATTGTGGGCTCGCTATTCACAAAGAGCACCGTTATTGTATTAAAAAGAACCATCTGTGGCAGAAACAATGGCTTCAAATTATCTGTGAATACCCAGTGAACAAAATATAAAGCTTTTTCCTGCTCATTATGTGGGCTAAGCTAGGGGGTGGAAGATAGGAGAGGAGAGGCACAGACTTTGCTATAACTGACTTTTGTTGTTCTTGCTTGCATTCTTCTCCTTTTTAAATCGGCCCCCTTTTCACATTGTGTGTCGCCATAAACGGCTTTTTCTTGTTGCAGGGCTAGCGGAGAGGAGACAGCGGAGAGCTCCAGACAGACGACGGGGCTGCACGCCGGGATCTGCACGCCGACAATCGCGCACCGGCTGCCGGGTCGAAAGCGCACGGACTACCAGGTGTTGGTGGTTGGTGGCTCGGGTCGGGGGGGATACGAACGGAAAGTGCGGGCTGGGTGCCGGCAACTGGAGCTCTGCCCCGGACAGGCTGAGGCTCCATCAGCGGTGGGAGAGATAGACACGAAGGAGGCTGAGCGACATGGCAACTTGTTTAATTTCTGCCAATCAAGACGAGAGGAAGACAACTCCCAAACTGGCAGTAAGTTGGAGTGCGGCGGAGTGGAGAAGCCCTGTGCGTGTTGGTGTGTGCGTGTGCGTGTGTGTGTCAGTGTGTGTGTTATAAAACAGTGTTGTGGAATGACACTGCCTGGAATCATGAGCTTGACTGACTGTCTGTGTTGTTGTTGGCCGGTTTGGTTTTCGTGTAGCTCAAAAATCATTTACATTTAAAAATTATTTAAATTGATTTAGCTTGATAAAAATATAAAAATATGTTCTATTTTTTTATTTTAAAAACTCGCGAGTATCATAGTATTTGCTCCGAGCTGTGTTCCAAACCAACCCCGGCTTATTGTTGTTACTTACAGGCTTAATTTACGCGCCTCTGTGCTTACTGTATTCGGACCGCCATAAATTTACAGTAAATCCATGTTTACATTTTACTTACATTTCACATTTTCTTACATTGTATCTTCTTTTTTTCATAATTCCTCGATGTCTTTTATGTTTAATGACATCAGTTCAGTTTTGCAATGTCTTTAAACTTTAGAAGCTCCACCATATAATCGAATTTATTTAATTCACTTTGACATTTTTAGTTCTGTCATTTAAAAAATCAACAGCAAACCGTGTTTAAATTGCTTGATTATGCATATATATATATCACTGTGTGTGTGTGTGTGTGTGTGTGTGTGTGTGTGTGTGTGTGTGTGTAAAACAATCTCTTCCTGTATTTTGTATTATTTGCGTTATTAATTATGGTGAAGATTCTGCTTAGATTATTTCTTGTTTGCTTCTTTAGCCCTTGTGGCAAAAAACAAAAACAAACAACGAACAAAAAACAAGTTTATTTCACCTGAAACAACAAATGTGTTTTTTATTTTGTTTCACTGTAACGGGAGTAAATCCCTTCATAGATTTTGCCATGTGTTGCATTTGAAAATTGTCACCGGTAAACTCTGATCATTGAGATCCTCTGTAGAAGGATTCTGACAGGAGATACTTGAATCATTTTCCACTCATACTTGTTGTTTTTAAAAATACTCTTGCAGAGATTACATCACCTAAATTGGTGCAACCACATAAACAGCATTTTTAGCGTCACGGCTCGCTGCGCGTTTGCAGTTTTTCACCCCAAACCTGGTGAATATACCATGGGGGCTTACATGTGGTCCGAGGGAGCCGCCCCACTGGTTTCTCCCTTTTTTTTCCTTCTTCTTTTTTTTTTTGTTAAACAAATTCAGGATGATTGCGGATGCATGGGGCCATTCCCGACTGGCTGGGGCCTGCTTTCAGAGAACCGCAGAGCCCCGCTGTTCCTTTATTATCATAAGCAGATTAGAGGTAGGGGGAACACACTCAGATGCAGATAGCAGCCGAGCGGCCCATTTCAACCTTGCATTAGAATGGACCGAGCTGCATGTGTCGCCTCTCGCAGCCTTTTAAGCACAAGATGAATCTTATGTAAGGTTGCCGGGGGCCGGCATAATGAGTGCACGAGGGAAGGGGTGGGTGCGTGGGGGATCCGCTCCTCTATTTATTATCAAATGATTAAAAACAAAAACAACAGAAAATCGTCGTAATAAGGCCCGATATGTTGACTTTCAGTTGGGATTTCATCTGGTTGAAACGGAATTCTTTCAGGTGTCTGGACTTCATCTGTCTTTAATTATCGTGACTCTCTGGCTTAGCGATCCAGGCCAGGAGATGTGTGACAGGTGACTCGGGTTTTTCGGATATATATTTTAACTCAATATATAATATATTTATTATATATTTTTTGTCTAAGGGCGGTTTTTGTGATAAAAAAAAAAAATACTGATGCTTTTAGACTCTTCTTCTTTTTTAAGCATTTCCTAGGCGTTGAACTGAACTTCTAACTCATCCTCTACTCCCCTCAAGTTTTGCAGTCGCGTGTAGGTCCCGTGTTCTCCACTAGGCGGCACTGGTGTCACGCAGCACAGAGGCTTTGGGCACCTCAAATGCAGTTTGAGCGGGGGGGGGGGGGAGAGAGAAAGAACTAAAACAAGTGAAACTAACACTTCCAGCACAGACCCCTCCCCACAACAAAAACTTTTTTTCCTCCCAGAGACTCTAAAGCCTGATAGTTTCGCACTCTACGGCGTGTGTTTCCCTACACAGTAATCTCGGCCTGCTTGATCCGGCCTGAGGTGAAGCAGGTGGAGGCCGCTCTCTCTCTCTCTCTCCCTCCCTCTCTCTCTCACACACACACACACTCACTTTAGTTGGCTGACACGCTCGTTCGGGCTCACTGAATGAGCTGCGCCTTTTGTGCAAACACACTTTATCTTAAAATATTCCTCACCTTTATTTCTCCCCCTCCTCGCGTCCCCCGGTAAGGCCTTACTTCGCCCTCTCTCTCCCTCGCTCTCTCTTACACACACACTACAAAGCCCTAACAACAACAGCAGCACTCGCAGTGGAAGTGACGTGGAGTAGGGTCTTTGTCCGGACAGATGTAGCGACAACATCCCAAACAAAAAAGCGCTTATTTGTGCTGAGATGAGCCCGTCTGCCTTCTGTGTGTTGGCATTCAACTTCACTAAAAGGGACAAAAAGGGGGGGAAACATCTTGGATTACCTTTCCTCTTTTCAACGCTAAAAACCAGCTCATAACCCCCCAGCCCTCCCTCCTTCATACGCACACACACACACTCAGACACACACACACACAGTCATTCGATGCTTTGAGTTAACTAACAAAGTTTATTTAAGTGTTGTTGTGCTTTTGTTCTGATGGATGTGGGTGGTGGTGTTGGTGGGCGATTGTTGTAAGCGGAGGAGAATGAGTGACTTTTCGATTTTGGGGCCGAGGGTTTGCTCCCGCAGGCTGTGGCTTGTGTCGGAAACAAAACGCTGTCTCCACCTTTAGGGACAGATGATGCTGAACGGGTTTGATAGTTTGATAGACTCTCAGCTGTGGATTTGTTGTTAGAAGTAAAGTCTACAGGCTCTAAAAATCATTTCCTGAACGTTTATACTGTCATTTATTCTTTTTAGTTTTTTAATCCAACTTTAACTTTCTGTGTGGGTCTAAAAGTTTGCAAGCAGCCACTTTCTCGCTTCTGCATCACGCTCTCTTTCAGTATGAAGTGTGGAAATAATCATCAAGTGCTCCCATTAACATGTTCCCACAGAAAAATCCCCATCAGCCTGAAAATAGTAAATATGTACTTGGTATTGGCTCATATGGGCACCCTGTGTATGTGTGTGTGGCTCTCTGTGTGTGTGTCTGGGGCAGGCAGACTCCGCCCCTTTATGCTAATTAAGGTCTCCCATTGGCGTGTCGCTGGGAAAAAGGCCGGCTCTGATTGGCCGAGTCGAACCCATTTATACGCTGACAGCCCCCGGTCGCATGAATGGTTGTCTATTAACTTGTTTCACAAACTATCCGGAGTTGTCACGGCTCGGCTCGGGCGGACAGAGGCGAAAAAGTGCGGGTTTGTTGACGCTCGTTTTCGGAGAAGCGACGGGAGAAGTTTTGTGGACACAACATTAGCGGGGAGCTGTTTTGGAAGAAGGCTCTCTCTCTGCGCGCTGAGAGGGAGAGAGAGGAAAAGAGAGCGAGTGTCTGTGTGTGTGCGTGAGCCTGTGTGTGCGTGTCTCTGTGTGTGTGCGTGTGTGTGTGTATATGCGTGAGTGTGTGTGTGTGTGTGTGTGGAGAGAAGCGGCTTGATGCTTGTTGTTTTTGTCCAGAGAAAAGTTGCATAGAGAAATCCCGGCAGGTAACTTTTCGCTGCAGCCCTGCTCGCTCCTCACTGTCCGCTCCGCTGGCTGCTGGAGTTTTTCTCTTGGCTTCTTTGTTTTTTTAACATTTTTTTTTCTGGGATTCAACTTTTTTGAAATTAAAAATCTGTTCCCGATGTATAACATGATGGAGACTGAACTGAAGCCCCCAGCTCCCCAGACCAACACGGGGGGCACGGGCAACACCAACACGTCCGGCACCGGCAACAACCAGAAAAACAGCCCCGAGCGGGTCAAGAGACCCATGAACGCCTTCATGGTGTGGTCCCGGGGACAGAGGAGGAAGATGGCGCAAGAAAACCCCAAAATGCACAACTCGGAGATAAGTAAGAGGCTGGGCGCAGAGTGGAAACTCCTGTCGGAGAGCGAAAAAAGACCTTTCATCGACGAAGCCAAGAGACTGCGGGCCCTGCACATGAAGGAGCACCCGGATTACAAATACCGGCCCCGACGGAAAACCAAGACCCTCATGAAGAAGGACAAGTACACCTTGCCCGGTGGCCTGCTGGCTCCAGGAGGCAACGGGATGGGGACCGGGGTCGGTGTCGGGGTCGGGGCCGGGCTGGGCGGCGGAGTGAACCAGCGCATGGACAGCTACGCCGCGCACATGAACGGCTGGACCAACGGGGGCTACGGCATGATGCAGGACCAGCTGGGTTACCAGCACCCGGGGCTGAACGCTCACAACCCGAGCCAGATGCAGTCCATGCACCGCTACGACATGAGCGCCCTGCAGTACAACTCAATGACCAGCTCCCAGAGCTATATGAACGGCTCCCCGACATACTCCATGTCCTATTCCCAGCAAACCACGCCGGGGATGACCGCCCTGGGCTCCATGGGGCCCTCCTCGGTGGTGAAGTCCGAGTCCAGCAGCTCCAGCCCGCCCGTCGTCACCTCGTCATCCCACCGGGCCGCCCCGGGCTGCCAAAGCGGGGATCTGAGAGACATGATCAGCATGTACCTGCCCGGGGCGGAGGTCAGCGAACCGACCGCCCAGACCAGGCTACACATGTCCGGGCACTACCAGAGCGCCGTGCCCGGGACGACGATCAATGGCACGCTGCCGTTAACACACATGTAAGAGACATGAAAGCAAGAAAGAAAAGGAGAGAGAGAGAGAGAGAGAAAGAACTTTTATAAGAGAAACTGTGGACTACTTAACGTTGGACTATTTTTGTACAGAAAAATTTCGGGGTGGGAAAAGTTGTATAGAAGTCTCCAAGAAAAAGAAAAAAGGGACACACGACTCTTTTTATTTTGTCTTTTTTTTTTTTCCCTTTTTTTTTTAGGGAGGTTTTGGGGGACGGTTGGGGGTTCCCCTCCCCCGGCCCCGGCCCCCTTCCCCCCCCCTTTTCCTTGCGGGTTGAGTTTTGGAGGCTTTTGGAAGTTGGGGTTGGCATTCAAAAAAAATGTTTTATTATTGCAATCACCCTTTTGTACAGTATTTATCAAAGAAACATTACAATCAGACGAAAATTGTTTGTTAAACTGCAAAAGGTTGCATATTTCTTTTTCCATTTCTCTTTTTTTCCTTCGATTTGTTTCATTTTTTCCTGTTTTATATAAAGCAACGCCAGTTCTGCAGATAAAAATATTAAAAAAAAAACAAAAAAAGTGAAAGATAGCAGAGCTGAAATTCTTATGGGAGCTCATTTAACACTTCACAACACTGGAAAGAAAAAGGGGACATGAAACGAAGCAGGTAAAACTGCTCTTTTTGTTGTTGTTGTTGTTGTTGTTTTCATTTTTAAAGGCAGCATTACTAAACATTTTATTTCTTGGAAAAAAATATATATATATTAAAAAAACGACGCCTTTTTTGTTTTTCCTCTCAATGCAGCTTAAAATATAGGTTCTTAATTTATATTTCCGTCTCCCACTTTTCATCTGTTAGAGGTGTATGACGCTTGTACTTTTTATTTTTTATTTTCTAATTGATTTGTACAATTTCTGTATATTTCTTGTGATATTTTAAGTTTTTATTTCAAGAAGAAGAAAATTTGTTTTGGGTTTTTTTTTCATTCCCGTAGTTGTATTTTAAGAATTGTGGCCTGTACGCAGAACAGCCAACCACTCCATGTATATATACTGGAACTAATACCATCCTTATAACAGTTACAATTTCAGCTGAGTATATATTTTTTTTTCAATATGCAGTTTGAAATGAATAAATTTTGGAAATTTGGATACTTGAAATTGTTTGAGTTTTGATTTGATTCATCACTGGGTTTTCTTTATCTTGTTGTTGTGTGCCAGGCAGTCATCACATGTTAAGTTGTCATCTGTCTTCTTCGTCTTCTTTTAAATGTGTACTGTAAATTCTAGTATTCTTAGTATTCTATTAAGTGCTTACAGAGTACAGCTTTGGGGCGACGTGCCTCCTTTAAAGTCCACAAATAACTGTGCGTCGTGGTTAACCACGTTTCTATTTTCTAGTTCCTGCGGATGGTCCACATCAAGCCCAAAGTTTGTTGCCTGTTTCCTAAAAAGTGGGGGGAAGATTTTTCCACCAAAATACCCATCATCCCCAGGTATAGACTGTCATTTCTCCTCTTTTATAATTATTGCTATTAAGAGCCGGTTTACAGTTTGACATTTTTTCTTTCTCTTTTTAAAAATTTAATATACAAACTACATTTTTCCCTTTCTTTCTTTTGTACTTCTTGGATTACTGGGCCTTCTTTTGTAAGGCTGATAGATGACTAATCATGCAGGAGCTCTAATGCCAGGCGCAGATCTGATTCCAGGTTATTTTAGATTAGAGAAGAGAATGTGTGTCATCCGTGGATTTTTATTGTCTGCTGACACCGTGTTGCAGTGTTTTTTGTGTTTGTTAAGGAGTATTTTCAGCAGCTTAAACCTTTGAGTTCCGGCTTTATTTCCTCTCGTTCATTGAGTTTATCCAATAATAATGATAATACTAATGATAATAATAATAAAGGCAACAATAATATCTGTTAGTTTTGGAAGCTTTCTCTGTGTTTCTCTCGCTCCTTTCAAAACACGGAGCTGGCTTATCAGGCTGAAATAGACCAATTAGGTGGAAATTGAAGGTGGAGCCCTCTTGAAGGGAGCCTGGCCGGGATGCTTTTTCCTCGGCCGTGTAATAGCTCCACGCCGATACTCGAGTGTGGTCATTTTAATTTAATGTTTAATCAAACGGGCCCTGCTGTTTCCCGTTAACCCCGCTTCTCATGGTTCAAGCTCTCCGGTGACTTTCTGCACACCACCACCACCATCCACCCTTATCCACCCTCTGCCTTAATAAACAAAAACAAAAAACAAAAAAACAAACGCATACAGAACAGACTCCAAAATAATCCACCCATGCACCTTTCTGCCAACCAGGCGGATTCCCCCCAATCATAATAATAATGATGATCCTTATGATGAGCTAACAGCTCGCCCTGAATTTAACTAACGGTTTTAAATCTGTGGGGGGAGTGTGTGTCTGTGTGTGTGTGTGCGCGCGCATTGGGCCGTTGTGTCTTGCAGGCTGTGTCCCGGGGGAGCGGCAGATGAAGAGGCCCCTCGGTATTCATCCGTCCACTTCTCCATCTCCCTCCCTCTCTCTCTCTCGCTTCCTCCTAATCGGACCTTGGGCAGGTCAGGGGATCGTTGGGAGTCCCATTAATTATTGATGTAAACAGTTGAATCGGTTGTAATAGCCGAGAGCGCTGGTGATAAACAATTTGTTTTATTAATTTATTTATTCCTGCTTAAAAAAAAAAAGCAGACGTGTAAAAATCTCCCGTTATGTTTCCAGGAACGCCGTGGGCCCCTGCAGGCCCACAGGGCCCCGCAAAATGATCATTTTTTTTCCCGGCTGAGCGTGGCACCTTTGATGTGATGGAGGGGAAAAACCTTTAAAAGGCAAAGAACACCAAACATGCTCGATGGGCAACTTATATTTTCTGTGGCGTGTCATAAGACCTGTGGCTGACTGGTAAAGACTTCCATGTGGACACAGGATGCTTGACTTGAGGCCGTGGGCAGCTTTTATTATATTATTATATTAATGCTCCTATTTTCTATTGCTGCCCCACCTACCCAGCCACTTTTTTTTGTTTGTAACCCTTCTGTAAATGGTTTGCTCTCTGTGTGAGCGAGGCAGTCACAAACTAGGACACTGTGAATGTTCACTCGGAAAACACTGATATCGCGCTATCTCGGTAGAAAAATATTAGCCCCGCATTTAACCCCGCGTGCTTTCCAAAATCTGAGCTGGTCTGAGAGGCTCTGAGCTCCGAGCCCGGCGTTCCTGTTCAAACAGCACAGCTGATAGCGGGAATTAAGTGGCCTGCCTAAAACGTTACACCCCACATGTGGTGTTTTTAGTCCACGGGGACGCTTTGAACGCGTCTCAGTGTTCAGATGTATGTTTGCTGCACTTCACGCAGTCAGGTGTGTTTTGTTTGGCCCGTGTAGGTTGAAGCTGGGAGGCCCGGTTGAGGTGTTCCCCTTCATCCTTTCGTTCACCCATCTACTCCCCCATCCGACCGTTCATCCATCCATCCATCCACCCACCCATCCTTCTGTTCCTCGCGTGCAGAGTCTGGCTGCCCCAGCTCGAGGATATTTGGCCTGCAACAGGTGGTAAGCGCGCGCCTCCTGTTTTTTTACGCCTCGGGTTAAAAAAAAAAAAAGAAAGAAAAGAAAAGCAATAAGCTCTCAGATGTTATCTGTGATAACCTGGTGTGCGTCTGTGCCCATATCGCGATATTGACGTGTTCCGTTACAAAGGTGTTTCTATTAAATGCAATTAAAAATACATAGATTAATGACTGTAAAAAATAGAAACTAAAAGCAGCGCAGCTTCTAACAGGACATCAAAGTGGAGCCGAGCAGTTTGAAACCGGCGTGTGTAAATGCTGTGAAGTGAGCTCAGATTAAACTGGCTCAGCGAGGCCTGCTGGAATTTCAATGTAAATAAATGAAGAAACGATGGATCGAGTCAGACGTGTCAGTTATGCTGGACAAAATCCAAATCCCGTGTTTGTTGTTCAGATTATATTATTATTTATTATTTAATTAGGTCAAATGACCCACCTACCAAACGCGCGTGCACACACACGCAAACACAACGAGCTTAGTGGCCTGTAATCCCACGAGAGCCACTTTCCCTTTTCACCACCACGCAAATAATAGGGGGCGAGGGGGGGGGTGACGTCACCCGCACGTGAAGCGTCTATCTCCGTTTTCATAAAATCGCTGTATGATTTTTTTTTTTCTTGCAGGTTTTTTACAACATAAAAACTCTACCAAGTGTACACGCGCTGGCTTTGAAACCAAACCGTTATTATTATAATATAATTAATAATAATTATTATTGTTTTTATTGTTATTATTTTAACAAAAGGCAGACACAAGACTAAATGGGAAACATGTTTAGTAATAAACGAGCTGTGATGAGACAAAACAAACAGCCATGGATCTGTGTGTGTTTTTATCATTCTGTCTGTCTGTGTAACTGACGCCATGTTTAAATGTCGGTCAGAGCAAGATCACGGTTCCCTAAATAAGGGGGAACCCGGCCATCCCCTTGTTCTCGGGCCGGGTCCGGGGTACGTGAAAAAAATTGGACCGCTTCTATAAATAATCCCAAACGCCCTGTTTAGATCCTTCCTCTCGTGTCGCGTCGTTATTCTGCATCCCTCAAGTCTTTTTGTTTTTTAAGGCTGCCTGACATCTCTGCCTGCATCACAGCGCAGAGAAGAGTTGAATAGCAAAACTGTCAGAGCAGAGAGCTGTCGTGTGTTTCAGCTGCCCGTGTGTGTGTGTGTGGAGCGCAGAGGGACTGAATGGCAGCCAGTAGCCTGCTGATCCAGCGCAGGTGCAGGGGTTCTCTCTCTCTCTCTCTCTCTCTCTCTCTCTCTCTCTCTCCCGCTACTGCAGTGAATAGGACCACACACTGACACAGACCAGCATGCCATCAGCCTCGCGCTGCTCTCGGCCTGCATTCTCAGAGGCTCGAGGCCTCTGCGACAGCCCCCACCTACCACCACCACCACCCCTCACTCCCTCTCCCACCACTTCTCCCCCTCCTCCCCCCACCCCCGTCACTCTCGTAGCTCCCGCTCCCGTTTATCATCTCCGCTCATTGATGCTGACAGCTTTATAGAGCGCCATCATTAAGGACATGCACAGTTTGAAGGGGGATCACGACTCTTTAGTAAAAAGCAAAGAAAAAATCCCCACAACCAAAACACCAGTGTCTCTGTTTCACCGTGCGGTGCCTCAGGTGTCCGCGTTTTTTTTTTTCGTGTCCTCCATCGG